ACTTCACTGGCCTCTATCATATCTTAGTTGACTATTGGTGAAAGGAGCAATAACCGGACAAATGCACAAATCTTCCTATAGAATATGCCGGGGGATTAGGCCTGCGCGTGGCGCGCGGGAGCTGATACGTGTGTGATGCGATTGCCAAAAACCGTGTCCGAGCTGTGCTGGTGCGGCCGACCTGCTAGGACGAATCGAGCTAGGGGACCTGAGAAGAAAGAACGGAGGCGGGACGAAAGTCCCTGGAATAGCTCCGATGATTAAGTCAGTTTGGCCGGAGAGTATAGTAGTAGTAGAGAATACTTGTGTCAGCGTACCTGGTGTAGTCTTGGTAGCGTAGTATATATAGGACCGGATGAGTTGTAGTTTCCTTATGGGAGTCAAAGTCCCCTTAGGGTTCGGAGTCTTCTTAGGGTTTTCTGCGGCGGCCCCTACATGTTCGGAGGCGGCGGCCCATCAAGCCCATCATAGGAGGCCCTTGACACGGCCGAGCTGGCTCCCTTATGCCGAGCTGGCTCCTGCCAGCCTCGAGGTATCTACCGCCGACCTGCCGTGTGTGGTTTACCGATCTGGCACGTGTCATGCGTGGATTTGCCCCACTACACTAGCCCCCATTGAGTCTAGAGTCACTAATAGGTCACGTGAGTCTGGACCAAATTTCGAAACGCCAGGTCAGCCGGGAGTAGGGCCCACAATCCCACGGCCGCGCGCCTTGTTCGGGTAACCGCCACGTTTTCTGCCATAACCGTCACTTCAAGAGTCACGTCCCTCATGATGACGGTTGTCAGCTCAAGCGTTTCTCCAAGTAAACCGTCTTTCAGCAATAAATTCAGATTTCCAACTCGGGACCTTTCGGCTTTCCGCCCAGGGGGCTTATAAATAGGCCCTACAAGACGTCACTTTCACGCCTCCCTTCTCATTTCTCTTCTTTCACAAATCCCATCAGCTCGCCTCCTGCCTAGAGAGCTCCAGAGTAGCGCTTCCCCCTAAGCACATAACAGCTCCTCATCCACTAGTAAGTCCTCTTTTCCCTTTTATGTCTTCTTCGTCCACGCACTCAGACCTCACTAGCTCGGCACCTAGGCGTAGAGTAGTCCGACCTGCACCCATAGAGATAATCTCTTCTTCCTCCAGCTCTTCCTCTTCTAGCTCGTCCGAATACCTTCCCTTCCCCTTACGTTCTCCCACTTTGGGTATGGACCAAACCGACCAGCCCTTCCGTCCTGACGCTGGAGTTGCCGACATGGGGATTCCCCTAGAGGTAACTCCAGCTCGGACTAGGGCGGGACCTTCCAGGGGGCCGGATATCGACTTCGGGGAAGTCGAGCTTATCCCCCCTATCCTATACCAGGGAAGTGTGGACGAGCTGGTGGGGAGGTATGATATCCCCCTCCAGTTCGAGGCTAAGGCTGCCCGACCAGGGGAGTATGCTTGCCGACCTCCTTCTGAGTTTGTGGCCATCTACAGGGATCAGCTCATAGCTGGTCTCCGTCTTCCCATTCCCCAATTCCTTTACCAAATTCTAACCTTTTGGGGAATTCGAATAACCCAACTCGTTCCAAACGCCATCAGATCGATCCTCGGCTTCTTTATGATGTGCCGAGTCCTCGAAATTCCTTATTCCCTAGACCTTTTCAGGTCATTCTTCCAAATGAAGGTGAGCGGGCCAGTTCATGGCTGGTTTTATTTTGCTCGCAGGAGCGGGGGAGAACTCCCCACCCGCGAACTGTTCACGCACACCCCCTCTTCCATTAAGGGCTGGAAAGCTCAGTTCTTCTATGTGAAGAACACGGGCTTTCCTCCCTTGACCTGGAGGGAGGAGACCCAGGTGTCCGACCCCCTTCCTTCACCTCTTCCTGCGGCCGAGCTGGACCTCCTGGTTAGCTCGGATGCTCGATTATCGGTGAAGGAATTTAGCAACGCCCAGCTCCGGTCGGCGGGGCTGATTCGAGCAGAGGTGAACGACCCTGCGCCTGACCTCCGACCTCTCACACCCGAGGAGCTTACAGCTTGTAATTCCTTTGATCTTCTTTTTCTTGCTTTCCTTTCTTTTCCTTTGCCGCACGAACTGACCCCTTTCTTTGCTCTCAGTGAAGAGGTTCTCCCAGCTTCTGAACATAGGAGGGACAGGCAGCTCGCGCGCGGCTACCTCGGTACCCTCCTCAGCTCCTGGTGACGTGGCTCCTCCCCCACCAGAGACTATTCCCGCAGCTCAGTCTACCCCCTTGGAGGGACCCAAAAAGAAGAGGAGGAAAACCACCGCCAAGAAAGCCAGAACCGAGGTGACCACCTCGGCTACACCTACGCCCCAACCATCTCCTACTGGCGCTTCCACGGAGCACTATGGGGTCAACACTGCCGAGCTACAGGCCTTATCTGAGTCGCCCCCTTCGACGTGGCGGACGAGGAACATCATTCCTCTCAAGCCCCCCACCGAGCTGAGCACACACCCCCACCCCCTCCATTTCTGCCCGAAGTGGGGGTTGTCGATGAATGACCGAGCTCAGTTTCCAGAGGCTGCTCGAGAGCTCGTCAAAGGTTCGGTGCTCCCACGCGACCATCACTTTATCCAGCTCGCATCCAACTCCGAGCTGCTGTCGCACTACTACCTGAGCGCAGCCCAGGTAGCTTCTTCACTTGGTACTTTATTAGTATCTTTAATCCGTAGACTTCTCACAGTTGGACCTGCAGCTCAACGTCGCCGGTGCCGAGCTGGCTCAGCGATATGAAAACATGGGAGGGAATCTCTCCCAGGCTGATGCAGCCAAGAACAGGCTGTCCAGTCAGCTTGAGGCGGCCGAGGCAGAGCTGGAGGCTACGAAGAAGCAGCTCGCTGACTCCCAGGCTGCCTGCGAGCTGGAAAAGAAAAAGACCGTCGAGCTAACTACCCAGCTCGAGGCTGAGCAGAAGAAAGCAGCCGAACTGACTGAGACAGCGAGAGCGGAAGGGCGTCAGCTAGGCGTTCAGCACTTCAAAAAGTCCGATGTCTTCATGAATGATCTGGCCATCTTGAATGGCCCCGTCTTGCAGCTCGGCTACACCAAAGCCATGGTGGATGTTCAGTCCTTGAACTTACCGGGCTTCGACCTGAGCAAATGGCCTGACTACAATCCCCAGGCCGCCGATCAGATTGACAGACTTGTCACGGGCTACTCCCACGGGCGCGACCTGGCTGCCTTGGTCGCTGACCCTGCTCTGCCCGCGACCTCCCCCGAGCCGGAGCAAGAACAACAAGGGGAGAACTAGAGAGGTAGTGCCTTAGGCAGGTCCATTAGGCTAGGCTTAGATCCGAGCTCGGCCAGCTCGCTTTTGTATGGCCCCCTTTATGTACGTCCTTTTGAAATGGAATGAACAGCCTCTTTTCTTTCCCAACACTTGTAAAAATTTTCTTTTATTCCATGTTTTTGAGTACATTCATAATTCTTAGTACTGAACTAATGAAGTGAAGAATAAGTCTGTCCAGCCGACTACCTCAGCTTCAGGCAAACTACTAAAGGAAAAACTCCTAGATTGAGGGACGCCCGTCCAGGCCGAGCTAATTAATAAAGTGGACTACCAAAGTGAGCTAGATAAGCAAAGAGCAGACCTGTCCAGCTGGTCACCTCAGCTCGGGCAGGGTACTAGAGAAAAAGTCTCAGGTTTGAGTTGTGCCAGGTACGCGGGACTTCGCTTCCATCCAGGCGAGCCAGCTTGGAATAACCTGCCCGCCCGGCCTCTTTCACCACGTAGGGACCTTCCCAATTTGGGTCTAGTTTTCCCGTGCCCACAGCTCGGCTGACGGAGTTCTTGCGTAACACCAAGTCTCCTGGCTTGAAAAAAAGGTGTCTTACCCTAGCATTGTAGTAGCGGGCGACCTGGCCCTTGTACTTAGCCATCCGTATAGCCGCCTCTTCCCTTCGGTGTTCGATCAGGTCCAAGTTAAGCCGCATCTCCTCCTCATTATCTTGAGCCACAAAGTGTTGCACCTTACCTGAGGGTATTCCGACCTCTGCGGGTATTACCGCCTCGGCCCCATACGTCAGGACGAATGGAGTCTCCTGGGTGGCTGTTCGAAGTGTTGTCCGGTAAGCCCATAGTATGGTAGGTAGCTCCTCTAGCCAATTAGTCCGGGCGGACTCTAACCTCGTCCTCAGGCCATGCAGGATGGTTCTGTTGACATTTTCGACCTGCCCATTGGCCTGGGGATGCCCTACTGAGGAGAAGTGCTGCTGGATGCCGAGCTCGGTGCACCACTCTTGAAGAGATTGGTCAGCGAACTGTCTGCCATTGTCCGAGACGAGAACCTTCGGGATGCCAAATCGGCAGACTATGCTCTTCCAAAGGAACTTCTGGATCGATCTGCTGCTGATCGTGTTGAGGGGTTCGGCCTCTACCCACTTGGTGAAGTAATCAATGGCTATTACCAAGTGCTCACAGCCCCCGAGGGCTCGGGGAAAAGGTCCTAACAGGTCAATACCCCATTGGAAGAATGGCCACGGGCTGTTGAGAGGAATCATTTCCTGAGTGGGGGTGTGATGTACGGGGGCGTGCAGCTGGCAAGACCTACACCTGGATACCAGCTCAGCTGAATCCCTAAAGATGGTTGGCCAATAGTATCCGGCCAACATTCCCTTTTTGGCTAATACTCTCGGGCCGACGTGGTTGCCGCAGATGCCTTCATGCAGCTCGCGTAAGACGTAGTTGCCCTCCTCAGGCGTTATGCACTTCAACCAGGGCTGCAAGTAAGATTTCCTGTACAGAATTCCATGTGTGAGTGCGTACTTCTGTGACTTGATGAGGATTTTGCGAGCCTCCGTCCTGCTTGGTGGAAGCTCCCCACGAACCAGATACTGAATGATAGGATCCATCCAAGAGCTCACTACCTGAATGACTGCAGCGCTTATCTGTTCATAGGCCCGACTTCTGACGACCTCTACCAGTATTTCCCGACCTGAGAAGCCAGTCGAGGTGGAGGCTAGTTTAGACAGGGCGTCGGCTCGCTTGTTCTGGCTCCGCGGAATCTACTCGAGCGTGAACTGCTTGAACTGACCCTTCAGTTCACATGTTTTAGCCACGTACTTTCTTAGTGAGCCTTCTTTGACCTCATAGCTCCCCCCTACTTGGTTCACTATCAGCTGTGAATCACTGTAGACTTTTATCGATCTGGCCCCCAACCTTCGGGCCATCTCCATCCCCGCAATCAGAGCCTCGTACTCTGACTCGTTGTTAGAGGCTCTAAAATCGAACCTTAGGGCGTAGGGCAGCTCCTCCCCAGTGGGGCTAATTAAGAAGAGCCCTGCACCACATCCTTCCTTACTTGATGCGCCATCCACGTACAATGTCCAGGTGGGATCTGCAGCTTCTGTGTCCTTTCTAGCCTGGGCAGCCTCCCCAGACAGGTCTGCCTTGACCGCTTTTTCTGGATGCGTGGCCTCAACGGCATCTTCGGCCCGCCCGACCTTAGCTGCCCCCTTGGTCTTTCCGACCTGGGCAGTTCCTTGGGTCCGTTCGACCTCAGTCGCTTCTCCGGCCTGCCTGTCCTTGGCAGCTTCTTCGGCCTGCTGGGCCTCAGCTGCTTCTTCGGACGGTCCATCCTCCGCTACCTGTATGGCCTGGATGACCTCAGCAGCGTCTCCGGCCTGTAAGACCTCTACTGCTTCTCGGGCCTGAGTGGCCTTGGTAGTCTTTGGGGTCTGTAAGGGCTTTGCTGCTTGTCCATTATGTGCCTTTTTAGTATCTTCTCCCTCTTTCCCGGCCTGTATATCCCTGACCTGACCGACCTCCGCTTCGGGCAATCCAAAGGAAACACCATCCGCTATGAAGTCCGCCAGGGCTTGGGCTTTGATGGCCGTCCTGGGCTGATATCCCAGGTCGTATTCGGACAATTCCACAGCCCATTTCACCATTCGACCCAAGGACTCGGGTTTGGAAAGGATCTGCTTCAGGGGCTGGTCCGTCATGACTACTACGGGGTGAGCTTGAAAGTACGTCCTGAGTTTCCGTGCTGCGTGTACTAATGCCAAAACATATCGCTCCACCGCCGAATACCTGGCCTCGGCCCCCTGCAGGGCGCGGCTAACATAATATACGGGCTTCTGTACCTTGTTCTCCTCTCGCACCAGCACCGCGCTAACAGCTCCCTCACCCGCAGCCAAGTAGATGAACAGGGTCTCTCCCAACTCGGGAGATGTTAGGGCTGGCAACCGAGCGAGGTGGATTTTCAGCTCATCGAACGCCCTCTGGCATTCCAGATTCCACTCGAACTGCCGACCTCCTTTCAGGGCTGTGAAGAAAGGCGACCCCCGAACTGCCGACTTGGACAGGAACCTGTTCAAGGCTGCCATCCTCCCCGTTAGGCGTTGCACATCCTTAATATTCCGGGGTGGAGCCATGTCCATGATAGCCTTGATCTTATCTGGGTTAGCTCTCACCCCTTCCTTAGAAATCATGTAGCCCATGAACTTTTCCGACCTGACCCCAAAAGTACATTTTTTGGGATTTAGCCGCATTCGTGAGCTCCGAAGGACCTCGAAAATTTCCCTCAGGTCGGAGATGAACTGCTCCTGGGTCCGACTTTTTACCAACATATCATCCACGTAGACTTCCAGGTTCCGACCGATCTGATTTCTAAACAGCTTGTTCACCAACCTCTGATAGGTCGCACCTGCGTTCTTTAGCCCAAACGGCATGGTAACATAACAATATGTTCCGTCCTCGGTGATAAACGAGGTCTTCTCTTGATCCTCCTCGTCTAGGGCTATCTGATGGTACCCCTTAAAGGCGTCCAAGAAACAGAAGATCTCATAGCCCGCTGTCGAGTCCACGAGCTGATCAATCCGTGGGAGTGGGTAATAGTCCTTTGGGCAAGCCTTATTCAAGTCAGTGAAATCCACACACATCCGCCAAGCTTTCTCTTCTTTCTTGACCAGCACCGGATTGGCCAGCCAGGTCGGAAAGTAGACTTCCTTAACGATCTTAGCCTCCAGCAACTTTCCCACCTCGCTCTTGACGACCTCCTTTCGCTCAGAAGCGAAGTTCCTCTTCTTCTGCTTTACTGGCCGGACGTTGGGATCCACATGTAGCCTGTGGACTGCCAGCTCGGTGGGGATTCCTGGCATGTCATCAGCACTCCAAGCAAAAATCTCAGCGTACTCCTCCAAGAGAGATTCCAAAGAACTTCTGATCAGCTCACCCAGGCCGGCGCCGACCTTTACTGTGCGCTCAGGTCGGTCAGGCTGAACAGGCAGCTCGGCCAATCCCTCGTCTGTCTCCAATCTTTCTCCCTTCTCCAGGGGTTCCCAGGATTCCAGACAAATTGTCTGAGCTACCAGTTTTTCTTTACCCTTGAGGGTGGCAATATAACACGCCCTTGCCACCTCTGGGTCTCCCAGCACCTCAGCCACCCCATCAGAAGTAGGGAATTTCATGCTGAGGTGCAAGGTAGAGCAAACAGCCCGGAGGGCATTCAACGTGGGACGTCCCAGGATCATGTTGTAGGATGACGGCTCCTTAACCACCGCGAAATTTACCGGGATCGTCCGGCACCTCGGGGCCACCCCCACCGTGACCTGGAGAGTGATCATCCCTTCCGGCCTCACAGGAGGACCAGCAAAGCCGATCAACGGAGTTCGAACCGGTACGAGCTGTCTATCCTCCAGCTGCAGCTCCTTGAAGGTCTTATAATAAAGCACGTCTATGGCACTCCCGTTGTCTATATACACCTTCCTTACCTTGAAGTTACAGGTGATGACTTCTATTACAATGGCTTCATGATTATTAGAGGCCAAAGGGACTGCGTCCTCAGGTCCATAGATTATTTCCTCATACATCTTCAATCGCTTGGCCGAGCTCTCCCCCGTGGGAGGTGGGCGATTGTGCCGCCGAGCTGCATGGCTATCTCCGCCAGCAGGTCCCCCGGCAATAGTATTAATTACCCCTGCCAGGTTCTGTATTTCTTGCTCGGGAGTTCGGCCACGGGGCAACTGAGGTCGGTCCCGGAAGTAACTCGGACGTTCCGACCTGGGCCTTCCCCGTTGTTGGTCAGCTCGTTCCTCTCGTACGAATTGCCCCAGATGGCCTCGTTTGATCAGCTTTTCAATATCTTTCTTGAGGTGACGGCAATCCTCCGTATCGTGCCCCACATCCCGGTGATAGGCGCAATACAGACCTTGATCCCGTCTGCTTTTGTCCCCGGCCAAGGGCCGAGGAGGTCGGGATAGCCCCTCCTGCTCCATCACTGCGAGTACTCGAGCTCTAGGTGCCGTGAGACCAGTCCAAGACTTGTCCTCTCCCATTGGGCGGCTCCTGGGGAGACGGTCATAAGCAATCTTCCTTCCCTGGTCAGGCCGCGCCCTCACCTGGTCAGCGCCCCTCCTGCGCTTGTCATCCCTCAATTTTTCCTGTGCACTCTTAAGGCGATTGGCCTCCTCCGCGTTGGCCTTCTCATGGGCTCGGTCCAGCATCTCCCGAACTGACTTGGGAGGTCTCTCCACAAGCTCGGTGTACAGCTTTTGCTTGCGCAGCCCATTGATGAAGGCGGCCATGACCACCTTGTCGTCGCGATCTCGAACTTGGAGGGACTCATTATTGAAGCGCACCATGTACTCACGCAAGGACTCCTCGGGCTTCTGTTGGATAGTCATGAGGTGAGCGGTGCTTTTAGAGTAGGCTCGCGAAGAAACGAACTGTGCTGAGAACTGCCGGGCGAGCTGAGTGAAAGAACTGATCGACCTAGGGGGGAGTCCCTGGAACCACTGCCGGGCCCTTCCTTCTAGGAACATTGGGAAGGTTTTGCACCTGACTGCATCCGCGGCGGTTTGTAAACGCATCTGCGTCATGAACACGAACAGGTGGTCCTCCGGATCCGTGGTTGCGTCGTAAGGTTTCATGTTTGGAATTTTGAACTTCGCAGGCAGTTGGTATTCCTCGATATCGAGCACAAAGGGGGAAGCAATGTACCTGTCCGCTTCCGGGTCCAGAAGTAGGTCCAGTTCGTCCTGCACCTGCTGTCGTTCTTTCCGGGGGGAGAGGTCTCCCCTGGGGAGCCTCCGGACGGGCTCCGGGTGTTCAGTTCGGGAGTTCTTGTGAGAAGGCTCCATGACCTCGACTTGCTCACGCGTGACCTCCCGGCGTGCCCGCTTGGCCCCAGTTTTGGTGGGACTTCCAGTTCGGGACTCGGACTGATCTGCTCCCTGAACCTTTGTCTCCTTGTCCTGATGACCTTCCGACTGCCCCTTGAGGTAGTCCATGATTGCCTCGAAGGTGGGCAGGTTTTCTGCCACCGTCTGAACCAGTTGTTCAGGCGGGATTCGTGAGGGCCCTGCCCCTCCTTCTCCGGGTGTGGGACCCCGAGAGGGGTTTTGGGGGCCACTTCGCTCGGTCCCCTTGGATCCGCCAGCATTCCTCTGCGACCTAGTCTTTGGCATGTTTTTCGCGAAAAAAGAGAATACTAGTTTCCCACAGACGGCGCCAATTGATGCGACTGCCAAAAACCGTGTCCGAGCTGTGCTGGTGCGGCCGACCTGCTAGGACGAATCGAGCTAGGGGACCTGAGAAGAAAGAACGGAGGCGGGACGAAAGTCCCTGGAATAGCTCCGATGATTAAGTCAGTTTGGCCGGAGAGTATAGTAGTAGTAGAGAATACTTGTGTCAGCGTACCTGGTGTAGTCTTGGTAGCGTAGTATATATAGGACCGGATGAGTTGTAGTTTCCTTATGGGAGTCAAAGTCCCCTTAGGGTTCGGAGTCTTCTTAGGGTTTTCTGCGGCGGCCCCTACATGTTCGGAGGCGGCGGCCCATCAAGCCCATCATAGGAGGCCCTTGACACGGCCGAGCTGGCTCCCTTATGCCGAGCTGGCTCCTGCCAGCCTCGAGGTATCTACCGCCGACCTGCCGTGTGTGGTTTACCGATCTGGCACGTGTCATGCGTGGATTTGCCCCACTACAGTGTGTAATTGTTGGATTTTAAGGTAATTTGTTATATGAATTTTGTGATATTTTGCTACTTTTGTAAACCTAAGACAATTAAAATTGAACTAGTATATGTAGCTATTCATTTCAGGAAACCGAATGAATTATGACTCACAGGATGAATGTAAATTTCTATTTGGTTTTGTCGTTAACAGTGTACTTCAACTACAACTCCCCACAACCAAATATGAACAAATTTTCAGGGTCAATTAATATGAATTGAGTTGTTTTCAATCTATTTCACTGTGGAAGGATATTCAGAAACTTGTTACGTGATAGCTAAGCTTTCTTGGGTGAATTAAGTCACAAGTGCAATTATGAAAGTAAATGTTGTTATGGGCTTATGCCTACTAGAGTTGATAATTATTCCAAATTATCGTTAATCTAACATTCTTGTAATTTTTTTTCATTTCTTTCAGTAGAAAAGGGATGAAACTTAAGAAGCAAGGAAATGAAGAGGACATGGTAAGGAAATTTGAATTCAGAACCTCTAATTCTTGAGACATGTTCTTAGCTCGGTCCCTATGTACTTACTACAGGTTTTGCAGCCTCCGAAGGCGATTTTCGCTAAGTTGGGGAGGATCTGTAATGCTTTCTTGTGGAATAAGTCGAGGGAGGCCAGAGGTATTCATTGGGTGGCATGGGAGAAGCTATGTTACCCAGTGGAGGAGGAAGGAATAGGCCTAAGGTCCTTCAAAGATATGTGCTCAGTTTTTGCTTGTAAGTTATTGTGGAGGTTGCAGCAACGGGAGTCTATTTGGGCACAATTCATGCATGCTAAGTATATACGGGGCAGGCATCCCTCTTTAGTGCAAGTACCGAGGCCCCCTTGGTCTTGGCGGCGACTAGAGCAGGTGCGGGAGAGAGCCGAGCAACAGATTCACTGGTGCATTGGGAAAGGGTTTATTGATTTCTGGTACGATCGGTGGCTCGTGGACTCACCGCTGGCAGACGTTGTTTCTATGGTCGACTCCCCTCATATGTTGGTGACAGAGTACTTTGGCGATGACGGTTGGAAACTAGATAGGTTGAGGGAATGGGTCCCTGATTGGGTGATCGCGCTATTTCACGAGGCCCACATCTATCCGGAGCAGGAGGACCGCATGGTTTGGTTGGGGACGTCAACAGGCGAGTTTTCACTTAAAGGGGCATGGAACTCGATACACCGACGCCGGGATTCATCACACGTCGATCGAGTGGTGTGGAATGGTGTGGTTCCGCTGAGAATTTCCTTTTTTTGTTTGGCGACTTGTTCGGGATGTTCTCCCTCTGGAGATGATGCTCAAGCGAGTCGGAATCCCGATCGTATCTCGTTGCCTCTACTATGGGCGGCATGAAGAGTCGTGGAGGCACTTGTTCATCACGGGCACGATTGCAGTCCAGGTATGGAGCTATTTTAGGAGGAGATTCGGTACTATCGACTCCACATTTTCGTCTGTCTCGTCAATATTACTGTCATGGTCTTCCTCTAGCCCGGGGGGAAGGTGCGACACATCCAGACAGTGGCCCCGCTGATTGTGCTATGGTGTCTATGGAAAGCTAGAAATAATGCGAGGTTTGAGGGCATGCGCTTCGACGCCTCCGGTGTGATTAAGATGGTGGACCAAATGATTGGGCAATTGGGCACAACGGGTGTTCTCTCGGCCACACACTTTAGGGGCGACGCAGAGGACCCATTGGCGCAGCTGGCAGCCCGGCCCAATCGTCAACAGTATTGTGTTGCAGTGTCGTGGAAACGCCCACCCCCTCTTTTCTTCAAATTGAATACGGATGCCAGTGTATCCCAAGGGCGGGCGGCGGGGGATGGCATCCTTAGAGATTCAAGTGGGCGGGTTGTGTTTGCATTCTACAAGGAGTTTGGTGACACGGAGGTCCTCACCGCAGAGAGCTTGGCATTACTACAGGGTCTTCAGCTTTGCCAGGAACAGCATGTTCAAGGTCTCCTGGTGCACTACTACAAAAATGTCGTTTTATGACATTTAAAAGCGTCATTATAGCTCGATGTAATGACGTTTGATCTATAATGATGCTCTGCTAGAAACGTCGTCCATTCCAGCGTCACTATAAGTTAATGACAGTTATATGAGTCCTAATTTGTAGTTCTATTGGCATTTATAAACGTTATTATTTATCGTTTTAATGACACTTTTAAATGACAAGAAATGCTAGAGAACAGTTAAGGTTATATGAATCTAAAGTGATACTCGATGCCTGTCATATATTGGATCTATCATGACGCTTCTATTATGTAAGTACAATAAAATATTATGACACATTTGCCGTATAAGTAGAATGAAATATTATGACACTTTCATGGTGTAACTAGATTAGATTGTTCTGACACTTGTTAACATGAAATTTTGTGAATATTATGAACCGCAAAACTCGAAGTGGTGACACTTTTAAGTGTCAATACATCATATTGCATTAGCCCTGTATCCCATCCGAGGTTTTATACCCAAAAGCAGAATCACATTTCATCCTGCCTACACAATATAGATTCTAATTTTTGGAATAATAAAGTTATTACTACCACCTTATAAAGGAAAACCAAGGCGATTTACATTTTCATAGTAATCACTGCAATACAAGTAGCCAAAATGGTGCAAAAGTACTGCATCGATCCAAGCAACTGACATTGCTGCTATGTCAACAAATTACATACCAATTCAGAGATTTTTCAAAAGTTATGAGTATTACAGTAGCATTGCCAATACATATCAAAGAAGCAATAGTTCAACAAGAACTCAACAAAAAACGCATTGACAATGTCTTCAAAAAATAGGCATTTGACCCAAGGACAATCCTTTAGTTTTCTTCAAGAATCACCTACAAGTGTCATAAACCAAGAAATAGAAGTTACAATCACATCTATAGCTCTTCTTTTACAGTTTTAATGTTAGAAAATAAATAAAAACTAAGTTAACCAAATGATAAAGATAAGATAAAAAGATTACCAGGTTTATTGGCCAAGCAATAGCTACTCCAATTGCATCTCCAATCTTGAGAAAATTATGGTATGGCCTCATTAGCTCTTCATCATTCTCCACAGGCACATTTACATGAATTTCACACCAATGTGATCCCAAAGGTATGTCACCAACTTCAACAGTTGGATCCAAATTTCTAACCACATGAATCCAAGTATCCAAATTTCTAACCACAAATCACTCACGGAATATCTTCTAAAGTAAAGATACCAAAAGTATCAAAACAGAATGTTAGCACCAATCCAAGTGTTCTAGACATATCAGAACAGAATGTTCACATATCCAGGTGTTCTAGACATTTGAGTAATAAGAACTAATCCAAAAGTATCAAAACAGAATAATATCAAAAGGAAAGACAGCAAAAGTTCAATTCCAGATTGTAACACACAAACTATAAAACAGATGGTAGGCACAAAAGAATAACAGTCTATGGAATTCAAAATTAGTCCAATAATGCAGCCAATATCAATTTGAGATAGAGAACTTTGACAAAATATTAGCAACCAAACTAATCAGCAATAGAAGTTCTACCCAACTGAAAATAACTGCCACAAACTTTAATGTATTGGTAACCTAAGAGTAGCAGAAACTTAATGTATAATTTTGGTTACCAACAACTCCAATTTGCTTCAAGTGGAAAGGGAATCAACGATCCGTGCTCACTAGATGGAATCGAAGATGATGGCCGCTACAAACTTGAAACCGCATTGATGGAATAAGCTTGACTTAGAACCACTTTTTTTTAGTCACAAAAAGAATATTATATTATGAAAATGAAGCCTGAAGAGGCAGAACAAAATGATACAACATGATCCCGTATAGTTGTGGTATGCATTAAGCAGAAGAGATGTCAGTACTCAAAAAAAGAAAAAAAACATTTACGTCAAAAAATTATTGAGCAGTTATGAGTAATTTATCATCACATATGAAGCTTATTGAGTAAAAAGAAGTTTCTAATGTCTAGTACGCATACCAACTTTTTCAATTTTTCAATATTACTATTACGCATGAAAGGGGAAGGAAATTGAACTCTATAAAATGTAAGAATGGTCAAACTAGACTTCATTTTGGCCATCATATGCAAATCTTGGCATCACACATGACCTATGCTTCATCGCGTGAGGCCCCCTTCACACTTTCACTGAGACATTAGAGATCTTGAGTTACAAGAAGTCAACTCCAAAGTAAAACACAGATAGAAGGAAAAAAAATCAATCTTGGAGCCAAAAGTCTGTTTCTGAAAGAAAACACATATAATATACCCTACTCACCCAAGAAGCATACAATATAATATCATAGTACTTTTTTTTTCAATGACTTAGTTAAGATTTTGTTATCACTCACGTACCGTAAACAATGACTTTGCCAAAAGCAGATCGACATTGCAATTCTAATCATTTCTAAAGTTCAGCACGCATGAAATAATTTGAATTTCTATGGTGTTAATTAGGCATCAAATCAGAAGTTCACATCTTCTACATAACTACTTTTTCCTAATGAAAAAATATAACTCTTTCACTTTTATGTGGTTAGGTACCATAAACTCAGGCCAGTCTACAATAGCAATTACTTTGATAACACCAATAGCAACGTAGACATTTTGAGTAAACTTTTGTCCTTCTTTATCCATGCCTACTCATTCAATGCAAGCTTTTTGTGTGTTGTTTGGGGGGGGGGACATTCTACTAGGATCAGCATTTAAATATCTCTTACAGCAATGCTGGCTGCTGCAAATAGTCCAAAATCAATTTCTCAACTCCCTTCAATCTATCAACAATGTATTGCCCAGAGAACTGCAAACCAAAAAATTATTTGGGCAGTAAATACATATATCAAAGAACCAAATAACAATACTCTGACATAAACTAGCTTACCTGATTTGATAGGGAAGGCTGGTAACCCTTCACAGGAGTGTTGAAACCTGAGTTTGGCACATTAACTGAAGTACTGGTATTTTCTTGCAACTTCTATAGGAAGAAAATGAAAATGATCAATTGAAGGAACCATCAGAAACCAAAAAAATGTTTCATAATCATGCCTAATGGCATGTGAGATATGCAAACATTTGAAGCCTATCTCATAAAAAGTTGGATTAATACCCGTAACCTGGTATTGTAGCAGTGCACGTATATTCAATCAACAAAGTGGTTTGCAATCTCATTATACTCGGTGACAGGCCTGAAGTTACAAAAAAGGAAAGCTAATCTTCCAATTCAGAAACTGAAAAAAATGAAACTTGGAATGAATAGAGTGAACAACTACAATTCATTTGCGCACTTGCCATGCTATAACATGCTCCTACTGAATCTTCACCCAGGCATATTAATCAATAAAGGGTAAACGAACATTTGTATACGTGCAGTAAAAGTGTCTTATATATACCTATCATATGGCCTAAAAATTTTACCCTTTCACCACCTCACACTCCATGCTAAAGTGAAACTGTTAATAATTAGAAATAAAAATTAAAAAGTGACTCCTTAGAATCCTCACTGCTATTAGTACAATCTTATAATTGAGTTTAACGAGTTATTAGTTCTCAAAAGGTAGCCTATGAGATTGGAAATGAGTAAATTCAAAATGATACATTTCATGATTTTTTTTTTCAAAACAGTGATACCATTCCAACTGGATGATTCTGGTACTAGGTAAGTGGGGTTTTCCCCACAACAAATATTATGTGGGCAAAACAAGACACACTGAAAAACTCTGTTAATTCTGCCATATTGCGTCCTCCACATACTCGAGCCCAATTTAGAGACCTTGTTGACTGCCTGGTTAGGCATGAGTGAGCAAGAGAGGGAGGTGAAGGATCCTGTAATTGAGGCCATGGCTGGATCAAGAGAGAAAAATGGATCTGAAGAGAGGAAGAGAAGGAAGGAAAATTGGGAAAGGAACGAAGTGGCGGAGAGCACGAAGAGTATGTATAGTTTACTTTGAGCCCCTTCAGCATAGATCAATCTCTCAATTAATTGCTTTTTTTTTTTCTAATTTCAGTGAGTTGAAGGATCAAAAAATTTCGAAACAAAAGGGAGGTAACGAAATGGAGAACCCCATTAGGTGGTCTCTGTTTTGCTGGTTATCAGACGAAAGGCGAAAGAATTCTTCAAGCCGAAAGGCCAATCATGCAAATTGTCATCGGCTTTATCGGATTCCCATCCACATCTACTCTTCCTGCCATTTCGTCTTCCCCAAATCCTTAACCCTCCGTCACCCAACTTGCTCCTACCCCATTTCCCATGCGTTCCCGGAGAAGAAATAAAGTAATAAAAAAAAGCTATCAATTTTGTTGAAAATGTATAGGTTACCTGGTAGTAATCTTCCTTCAGATGATAATTTTCAATGAACACCGTAGCTCCACTGTTGCTAAAAGCCCAGATACCAATTCCCGTTCAAACTCCATGCTAAAAACTCCATGCTGTTGTTGATTATGCTACCTTCTTAAAGGTTTACCTGTTTGTCTTCAAATTGGAGAGAGTTAAAAATCGGGTGGAAGAAAGAGAAAGAAACAAGGGATTCGGTGGTGAGAGGGGTGAAGGATTTAGGTTTTTTACAGAGAGTTTATTTGATTGAGGGTTTTAGGAGAGAGCACTGGGATGAAAAAAGAGTAAAGTACATTGGATTCATTGGAGTAGTTAGAATATTTCCCCCAAAAAAATGGCGCTGAAGTGTAGCGCCATTATCTTTCCCGCTTTTGTTTTTCATTTTTTACTTCTATCTGGATAAGTTAGAGTGATACGATATCGTACTGGTCATTTTCTTTGTCACTTTAATGACGTTCCTTACTGCATGTTACATTAACTTGCTGTTGTGACACTTTTAGGAAAATGTCATATTAAGTGTGTGACTAAAGGTGCTTTTTGTAGTAGTGGTGGAAGTTGATTTGCGGGTTTTGGTCCAGCTGATCCAATCAAGGAAGGTGTCGAAGTGGCCTTTATGCAACACGCTGCGTCAGATACGCCATCTCTTAGCCTCGCTATCCTCTTCAGTGTCGCACATCTTTCGGGAGGCTAATACTTCCTCTGACATGATGGCTAATTCGCGTTGGGGGACCGATTTCTTTTGCACATCTCATCAGCAACTGCCGAGTGCGGTATGAGCGTCTGTACTCCTCGACGCTAGGGAGTTCTCATCTGTACGGTGCCAGCTTGCAATAGTGCCTTCAGGGCAGTACTCTTAATAGCTGCCTGGCTGAATGCGCATGCTGTACTCTTTTCTCCTCTGTTGATTTTCAATAAAAGAAGCAAAAAAAAAAAAGGGTGTGGATTTAAAAAAAAAACAACTTTGTTAGTTCATTTTAATTATGTTAGTTAAATCATAGATAAGCTTAAGCCATAAACTTGATATCAACCAGCACAGTTGACACTGGATCCGAAAACACAAAAAGAGCCACAATTGGATTATATACCAAATATGCACGGGCCGCATTATATGTTAAAGGATAGTTTACTATTTCCAAATGTACATTATACACCAAGCTATGTAAATAGCTTGATAAGTACAAATACAACTATAAATAGTTAAATTTTCAAATAGAAGTAGGGATACACCTGGCAATGAGTTATAGCAAATAGAAAACAATAAAGTACAGTACTAGGTTGCAAAAACAGAAAAAAAAAAATCATCAAAATGTATAGAAAGTTTACTAAATAAAAGGGATAATTTCAGAAACCTCCCCTGAGGTTTCTGACAATTTCATTGAGCTCCCTTGAGGTTTGAAAAATTACACCTACTCCCTTGATTTAATAGTTTTAGTAACAAAACCTTAAAACTATATTGACTTGGTCAAATTTTAAATGAATATCCAAAAATGCCCTTGTGTATTGAGTTTTAATTTATTTTCCTGCACAATTATAAGATTATCTAGTGTAATTATAAGGAAAAAGTGCCAAATTTTTCATGTCCATATATACTATTTGATAAACAACTATAATAATAATTTTATCACTATGACAGTATACTTTTGATAGTATTTTCTTATGGATTTAGATTTATAAGATAGAAGAGAAAATGTTCAAATAATTGATTTACAGAATGAATTTTTCGAGTAGTGGGATTATCATAATTTAGTAGCGGTTTTGGGCCATTGTTTTGATTTATTATTAATTTTAATAACAAAAAATAGAAACAAATATTAGCAAAAAACATTGGATTACATATAAAGTTAACTAATAAAAAAAAATCACTAGTTTGACATTTTATTACAATAGAAACTAGAGGTAATAGTGGTAATTCTACAGTTTTATTGGCAAAAAATTAAAATAAAAAGGAATAAGAAGGAAAAACAATGAAAAATAATTTTAAAAATCATTCTAAGTATAAGTATACCAAACAAGGGAATTTCATTAATATATTTAAGGGTAGTATTGTTATTTCAAATGACAAGAGAGGTATGTGTAATTTTAAAACCTCGAGAGAGCTAAATGAAATTGTTAAAAACCTCAAAGGAAGTTTCTGAAATTATCCCTAAATAAAACTCACATCAAAATGTTCACACTAAGAATCAACAAGAAGCAGACATAAAACTAAGAACTGATAAATTCGTTGCCAATAATTACATCTATAGTAAGTAAGAAAACAAATTGCGTTCAGTATAATCACTTAACAAGTAACCAATAACAGCTTAATGCAACAAATTGAGTTCCAATGACACATAACTTTTTGACAAATCTCTCATCACTGCCAGCTTAGTGAAGCAACTTCTTCAACCTATATGAGAAAATGTTATAGTCACAATTAGAACAAAATATATAATAATCTCCCACCGTAGAATCTGAAATTGGCCATATGAATCATCACAATAAGTTCAAAAACATGAAATTGACTTTAAAAAAAAAGCCATGCAGTAAAAGTTATGTAAATCAATAGAAGACCTAGTAGAAAAATATGTATAACGTTTGAAATGAATTGTTATTACTTTATTATACAACCAACTACATACATCTTTAACATCTTACCAATTTGTCATTTTTGTCACGAAGTACTATTTAGAAGTATATTCCAGGACAACCTTATTACATGTCTTATTTGCTTTAGTAGAAAAAAATGAGAATTTGTTTGAATATTTCGGTCTAATATAGAATTTTTTTTTTGTTTAGGTTATTCAATCATATATATGAATTAATATATCTAAGGATTCTAATGAGAGGTTTTTCTTCCAAAGATATATTATGGGTTAAAAACAAAAAAAAACCCCATATAGTATACTCAATACACTGAAAAACCCCTCGTGGTTTCAAAACATACAAAATGACACTTCATATTTTGAACTAAATTGTAAACTAACAGAATTCGTTGAACTTAATGAAAATGACGGTCTTGACTGTTAAACTTATCGGATTCCGTTAAGTTTAATGAATTCTGTTATTTTACAATTTAGTTCAAAACATGAGATATCATTTTGTATGTTTTAAATCCACGGGAAGTTTTTCTGTGTATTAAGTATACCACATGGGATTTTTTTGTTTTTAACCCTATAAAACATGTTACGATCTTAGCGATTGCCCACCATGTTCTTTAAATAAAAGACTGCAATGCAAATCTAGCCTTTTAAGACAAGGACACAATCAAAATCAGAAGGGAAGCTCTTTTGATGGTAATAGACGCTGATGCAGGCCAGTGCAATATATCCTTCAACATTTTTGACCTATTCTTATTGCTTGATAAATGAATTTTTTTTGTCACAAAAAATTGTTACACCTTTCATTCCTTTACTAGTTTTTTTTTCAAATCATTTAAAACGTAAAAAAAAGTTTTAAAAAAAATCTACGATAAGTTCTGTTTTTTTAACCCTTTTTGAAATATGGTGGAAGGTACAAGCAATGCAAAATTGTATTCGAGTATGGTTACTTCTTGGCTGAATGGTGCAAAAGCTTTTGACAACTAAATCGAGCAAACTAACCTTATTTTTACATAATTCTGTAACTTTTGTGTTATTGTGCCGGGTTAACGAACTAATGAGTCCCGAATTTCTTAAGATTTGATTCAATTAGTTAAGTTAGTAAACTCAAATGCATTCATCTCGAGCCAAACTCAAGCTAAATATTGTGTTCTCATGAGCTTTTAGTCTAATTTGCTGAAAAAAAATTGAAGTGCATATAAGTAGCTTGGTTTGGGGCTTTCTTTTTACATTAGCAAGTTACAAATTACCATTAAGTCGAAAGTTTTTTTATTTATCCTTATTTCTGACGCAGCTCTATCCAGTTTAAATT